CCTTCGCTGTCCCTATTCACCTCATGTAATACAATCACTCTTTTTCTCCCCCACAGCAGTCAGCATTCTAGTGAAGATTAATGGAGAGAAATAATGAAGTTAGTACACCTAACAGACCGGGCAGTCATCTTGTTAAAGAACTGAGAGCCCAGTCTGCATTCAGACTGGAGTTTTTTCTATGTCGGGTATGGGCCCTCTTTCTCCTCCCCCACATCCTTTCTGGTATATTGCTAGGTTGGAGGGATTTTTGGATATGGAATCCCCTTCCAGAACTTCATAGCAGCCCCATTGGTGAAAGGAAGATGAGATTCTCATAAGCTGTTCGCAGGGAGAGGGCAGGGACCCACTCAACCAAGTTATTGAACAATGGCAAGACCTTTGATATGTAAATGTTGGTTTGCTTCCAAGGGTTACTTCCTTGTTCCATCACACAGGAATTCCCACTTTTCTTCTGCCCCTTCCACACACATTGGCTCATGTCTACCTAGCTGCTATAACAGTCCCCTCTCAAGAGAAGTAACCCATAATTTTATGGGTGTGATGTGGATGAAGGTCCATCTTCTGTACTTTCTTCAAGCCGACATGTGGGCTTAGAGCTGTTTATTGATATTCTCTTGCTATCTGTCCTACGGTGTTTGGAGATGGCCTGTGAAGTGACTGTCTTGGGCAGTGCAGAAGACTGGTTATATCACCCAGAGGGATAGGCTAGAAGCCCTGTCTTATCATCTGGAGCTGAATGGCTTATATCCACTGGTCTTCAGTATCACTCCATGGTTGCCAAATAAGTCGCCAGGAATTGGCTGCTTGGGGGATCTTGTCTTCATACAAGAAAACATTCAGATGTGAGACAGAGAGTAGCAGTAAGTATGCTAGCAAATTAATGGGGAGAAAGAATGAAGAAAGTACACCTAATAGACCAGATAGTCATCTTGGTAAACAACTGAGAGCCATCCAATCTGTCTTTTTTTTTTTTTTTTTTTTTGGACAGGCAGAGTGGACAGTGAGAGAGAGAGACAGAGAGAAAGGTCTTCCTTTGCCATTAGATCACCCTCCAATGGCCACTGCGGCTGGCGCACCGCGCTGATCCGATGGCAGGAGCCAGGTACTTCTCCTGGTCTCCCATGGGGTGCAGGGCCCAAGGACTTGGGCCATCCTCCACTGCACTCCCTGGCTACAGCAGAGAGTTGGCCTGGAGAGGGCAACGTGACAGATCGGCACCCCGACTGGGACTAGAACCCGGTGTGCCGGCACCGCTAGGCGGAGGATTAGCCTGTTGAGCCGTGGCGCCAGCCTCCAATCTGTCTTAAACAGTCCCCCTCTGAGCTCCCCAAAGTTGGTGACTGATTGCATGTGAGCCAGCAGGGAGAAGAGGAAACATGTGATGCCTAATCTTTAATTTAATTTAATTTTAATTTCCAAATCATCAGTCCTGTTCAATTCACCCATATTCAACAAAGTAGCCAGAATCATTCTCTAAAATCATAAAGCATGTCACTCCAATACTTAAATCCTCCAGTGGACCCCAAGATCCAGCACATTCACCATTCTAAATTCATCCTCTATCATTTTACCTCTTGTCCTCTATTTCCCACATTGTTTCTCCTGTTTCTCAAAGCAAGCAGATCTCCACCTTAGTCAGAAACACTCTTCCCCAGTAACCTGCCTGGGTCCCAGCTCCAATGCCACCTACTCAGAGAAACGTTTCTGCGCTGTCTAATCTAATCTTCCTCCTTCACAACTCCAGGTACTCTCTAGCTCATCAACCTGATTATTTTCTTCACATTATTTAACATAGTCTATTCTTATTTATGTATTTGTTAACTTGATTATTGTTTCTTTTTCACCTCTTTACCCCCAGCATACACTCCACCACCAGAAACATAGTTAAAATTTAATCTTTATTAAATGAAATTGTGCTTCCATCTTCATGATAGTCTTTTTTTTTAAGGATATATTTATTTATTCTAAAGGCAGAGTATCAGAGAGAGGGAGAGAGAGAGACAGAGAACTTGCATCCACTAGATCATTCTCTGGATGACTGCAACATCTAGGGCTGGACAAGGCTGGACCTAGGAGCCAGGAACTCCATACCAGCCTCCAAAATTGGTGGCAGGGGCACAAGCACCTAAGCCATCCATCCCCATGTGCATAAGCAGTGAGCTGGATCAGAAGTGGAGTAGCTGAGACTCAAACCAGCAGTCCAACACGGAATGCTGGCATGGCAGGCAGCAGCTTGACCAGCCGCACCACAACACTGGCCTCTATCAAGATGGTCTTGATGACAACAATGACATGATTGATGTCATGATTGATGATTGATTGATGATTGATTGATTGATTGATGATGATTGATGATGTTGATGTTAATGATGCTTTCCCATAGTGAAATGCTGAGTTGGGTGTGTGAATCCAAGGACTGACTGGAGTATATTCTTGATCATCTAATTAGAGACAGGACCCATTGTTACAGAGTTGGCATGGGCTCTGCAAGGTATATATGCATGTGTATGTGTGTAAGTGTGTACTTACTTAATACCACACACTATGAAATCTCAGCCATCATTAGGTACATCTACCACTTGCCCCTATGGATACACACTGAGTGAAAGCAAAATGAGGATGTATCAGGTCTCCTCTATCACTTTGCAAGATGGGCTTGATTTATTGCGTTTCGTAGACAACAAATATTGAGACAAGAAGACAGTTTCTTGGCCCCTTTAGATGCTCTTCCCAGTTCCTAAAGCTACTCTGCCAGGACTGGTTTTGAGGACATGCTAGCAAAGAGAGAAAATGCAATTAATCAGACAGTGGTAGGAGAATACATTGGGGTTAAGAGGCACTGGGAGCTGTAGAAGAAAGACTAGCCTGAAACTGAAGTGGGATGACCTGTTAGTTTCAAACACATTGGTGAAGACTTAAGAAAAAACACAGTCGAACAAATCCTGCTTCGCTCCTGAAAAACAGACAGGTTCTAGGAACCTCAAAAAACAGAGATGAAAGAATGGTCGATCATTTCATTTTACAACGAATGATTTAAAGACCAGAGAGTCACAAGGACATTCTTAGGTTCACACAATAATTCTGCAGCTCACCTAAGACTAGAATTCTCATTTGAAATTCAATGTTTTTCAGGCACAGAGCATAGCCCAATGGGTAATTCCATATTTGAATAGTGAATAGCTTATTAACTTCAGTAACACAGAAGGTGTTACTTAGCTTAAAACTTAACCTTTTTTAAATTTATTATTTGACAGGTAGAATTATAGATAGTGAGAGAGAAAGACAGAGAGAAAGGTCTTCCCTCCATTGGTTCACTCCCAAATGGCCACTACGGCTGGCGCTGCACCGATCCAAAGCCAGGAGCCAGGTGCCTCTTCTTGGTCTCCTGTGAGGATTCAGGTGCCCAAGCACTTGGGCCATCTTCCACTGCCTTCCTGGGCCACAGCAGAGAGCTGGACTGGAAGAGGAGTAACTGGGACTAGAACCCGGCGCCCATATGGTATGTGGTGCCGCAGGCAGAAGATTAACCAAGTAAGCCACAGCACCGGCCCCATTAAAATTTAGTTTTTAAACTAGGTTATCTATGTGTACACTCATCTCTATGGCCCCAGAAACTAGCAAGCGCTTGTGTTCAAATCTTAGCCAAATTCCTGTGGCCTCTCATTTCTGCCTCTCCTTACTATTGCACCATGGCCAACCTATCACACGTCATTATGTATCACTTCCCCTTGGACTTCACACTGATACAATCAGAGACAGGAAACAACCAAAATATATGTGGTGGGAGGAAACCCAGTGGGCACACAAGGCTTAAAGAACCAGTGAATGAATCGTCTTAGAGAGCGAATACTCTTTGAAGCATGTCAGATCAGAAATTGTGACTTGCACTTACTAACACTGTAGAAAACAGGATCACTGCAGAAGATCCAAGATTCTGTGTGGGATGGAGTACCAAGAAGAACAGTCTATCGGTTAGGGTTCTGAGCTGTCGGGTTACATATCTGGGAGCTCTGAAGGATGTTTCCATAAAAAAAAATTTCTGACCAATAAAAATGGAATCTGAGATCAAAATAATAAAAAACAAGCATCTACAAGATATTCATCAAACCAGAGTCCCATTTCCAATTAAATACCCAGGACAAACAGTCTACATATCTAACCTGTTGTCAAAGTCCCAACTTTGGGTAACAAAGGTGGAGAGGAGGCCAACTGGGTAACAAAGGTGGAGAGGAGGCCAGAAGAGCCAAAATTCCCTTTCTAGCTGGAGAACTCACATTCTACCGGGCATAAGGCAAGGAGCGGAGAACGGGAGCCCTTCATTTCGGCTCTGGGAGTCAGTTTCCCGAGAGCTGGTATGGGGAGTCCCAGAGAAGGACATGGAATGGTGTTAAGCTATGTTCCACGGATAATCTAACTTCTCACGTGTTGCCCCGTCTCGAAAACGAACGCTAATTAAAGCGCGTTCATTGTACGTGGTTCACAAGGCTGCTGAATTAAAGCAAGTGACCCACCCAGCACGCGCTGCAGAGCGCCTCAGATATGGTAAGATTCAGTATGAAACGCTAGCATTGTGGTCTCCTCAATCACCCTCATTCCAACCTCAACCTTCAAGGTGTCTCTATTAAGTAGGGGATTCCTTGGCGAATGCCTTTCATCCACAAATGGACTCCACGGTTTATCAAGAGCACTTCTAGAACCCGCAGTTTAGAGCTTTCCGTGGCACGACGACGGGCTTTTCTTTCTCAGAAGGAGGTCTGCGAGTGCTAAAACAGCCATGACAGTCCCTGTAAAGAGCGCCCCCTCCCATCCCCGTCTCCTTCGGCGGCGAGGCGGGCCCCGAGCCCCGGGCTTCCCCAGCCCGCCCATCTCAGTCACCATTGGCCGCCTCCTCGCTGGCGTGACTAACGCCCCGCCCACTCCTCCCTGGGACCACTCTGAGGCGATCTCCGGGAGCGGAGGGGCCTGGGAGGTGGGGCCGCGGTGCACCCTGGGCTTTGTAGTCCATCCCCACAGCGGCGTTCAGAGAGCAAGTCCTTCCGATCCAGAGAACTACAATCCCCAGCAGCCAGGCGGAGAGCGGAGCAAGTGGGGGCTGGCGTCACGTGGGCGTCCGGCCTGGGCGGGCTATTTCTCAGTGCGGCGGCGGCGGCGGCGGCGGCGGCTCGGGGTCCGGGGCCTTTTGTCTGGAGCGGCTGTGGGGGGGCCCCGGAGCGGCGAGACCGGCGGCCTTCCCCCAGCTCGCTTGGTCCCGGCCGCCCCTCGCGGGGGTGGGGGGCCACCCCCTGGGCCGGGCGTCGCCTCAGGCGCCGCCGCCCCGCCCTAGGCCCGCCCCGCCCGGCCGGAGGGGAGGAACCGGCTGGGCCTCGCCGCGCGGCCCAGCCACCCCCGGAGTCGCCCGCGCTGCGCTCCGTGCCCCGGACCCGAGGCTGCCTCTCGCTCTTCCGACTGACGCCATGAAGATCAAGGATGCCAAGAAGCCCTGTAAGATGGGGGCATGGGCCCGTCGGATTGGGGGGGGCACCCCTGGGCCGCGTTCGGAAGGCTCTTGGCTGAGCGGCCTGGCTTCAAGCCGGTCGCCGGCGCCCAGCCCGGGAGGGGGCGGAGGGACCATCCCAGCCCTGGGTTCTAGGCTTCCGTCCTCCCCATCCCCCTTTACGCGCAAGTGCCGCCCCCTAACCCTTTCCTCCCACTTCCTCCCGGAGGCCTGGGAGGCAGAGGAGGGAATTTTTGATTCCGCTCGTGCTGGTGCGAGACTAGAACTACCAGGTTTCCTCTCCCAGCTGGAAGTCACGTTGAAAAGAGGTAGTCTTGACTGGTCCCGGGGTGCAGTGGCCACTCGTTTTTAGGGGTTTCTGGGCTTCCCGCTGGTGTCCTTGAAATCCCGGTGGGTTCCTGGGGAATTGTTACTGTTAGCAATCGGAGCTTTTAAACGCACGTGCACGTAAGCTGCCAGCGGGTAGTTGCCTCCGCTTGTTTAGGTTTAAGAGCATCAACTAGTTGATATTTGTTTTAGAAAACACAGAAACAAATAGAACACCTGTATTCCCGCTGCCCGGAGCGAACCACTAGTAACATTATGGTGCATACCCCTAGAGATTTTTCTTTGACTATATGCATGTACTTAGAACAATTTCTTACCGTGCTTTAAGGAAGATAAGGTATTGTTTTTTTCTTTCAAACCTTTTATTCCGGCAGTTTGCTTATTGAAACCCTTAGCCATTGTCCTTGTCATAATTTTCAAGTGCAGTCTTCCAGTACCAGTAGGAATGTGGGAATTCCTGCTCATATCTTGAGTTACATTGATGTCTTGCGGCCTTTTACAGTGTGTAAAGGGATTCTCCCGACTGGACTGTAGAACTCTCCAGCAATAAGACGGGGCACTGGCAGCTTCCCTGCCTGTCCGTCAGGGTTCTTGTCACTTCCCAGGAGAGACAGCATGGCCTAGCTCTCGGAAAACTGCTAATTGTTACTTAAATGTGAAATAAATTGATCTTGACTTTACGGATGAGCAACTTGAACTTAGTCCCTGAGTAAGTCTATGAAGCCTACACTAACTTTGTGCTGATGAGGTTCAGAGCCCTAGGTGTTTGGCTCAAAGTCCAGTGTTCTCTCTCCTGCCCCCATTGGGAGAGTCTCAATACTTAAAGCAAAACACGCCTTTCTTATCTGGTAGTTTTACCTGCTAATTTAAAATATTTTTAAATGATGATTTATTGGTATAGTTGTTGGAAGAATCAATAAAGTAGAGATTTGAGAGCTTAAATGACAGTAATGTAGCAACATTTCTGATTTACTTTACATTTGCTGAATTAAACGTGTGCATCTTGAACACTCGAACATCTTCCCTCGACATGCACTTTATCTGCTTGTCTTAGTGTTTACATTCAGTGAAGAATTTTTGATATAGTCTGACTCCACTGGTCATGGCGATTTTCTTTGTCATGATTGTGATTTAATTACTTATAATCAGATAGGAGTATCACCTAAGCTGTTTGAAAGTTTATAGAATAAACTTCAGGTTGAGAAATAAAATACTATTTCTTAAGTAGGTTTATCATTACTCCAGTGTGGTTCATTGTGAGACCATTAATCTTAAAATAGAATCATGCTGAAAAACTGGTCAGTTGATGTGGTTTAGAAATCTAAAACAGCATTTCCAGTTTTTTATATGTAAAACATGACTTTACTGCCTACTGAATTCCTTATAGCCAACATAAGGAGCATCTTGCTTTTTTGTGTATGGAAAATAAGATATTTCAACCATGAACTGTGCTGAATATTTATAACTGTTCAATATTGTTCTAGTTTTTCAAAACAGCCTAGTTAAACATTTGTTTAGTTATGGATACTTAAGAGTTTTTAAATGTAATTATAACATTTATTGTCGAGTTAGTATGTGTAAGGCACTATGCTATATACGTTGCATCATTTAACTCTTAACAGCAATACTTGAAAAACTGTATAGCATACTGGTTAAACAAGTGACTTTATTCGTTTTCTTAACATTATTCCTGTAAATGTTAGAAAGCATTGCTTTTATATACATCACCAGTAGTACCACTTTATAAACCAAATGCATACGTACATTAACAAAGAATTTGCTTTATCTTTTAGATTGTGTAACTCAGAGGTTAGTGTTTGAAATTAAGTTCTAATTCAACCCCAGGGGAAGGAGAAAATAAAATCATGTGTTTGTTCATACCTTGTCTGACTTTTTTTAAAGATTTGTTTATTTATTTGAAAGAATTATGGGGGGAGGGTTGGGAAGAGGCAGAGAGAGAGAACCATCCAGTGGCTCAGTCCCCAGATGGCCACTACAGCCAGTGCTGAGCCAGGCCAAAGACAGGAGCTTAATCCAGGTCTCCCACATGGGTGGCAGAGGCCCAAGCACTGGGGTCATCTTCAGCTGCTTTTTCCAGGCCATTTGGAGAGAGCGGGATTCGAAGTGGAGCTTCTGGGACTCAATCCAGTGCTAGTATGGGATGCTGACGCTTTATCTGCTGTGCCGCGTCAACCACCGACATTTTTTCTTTTTCTTAAGATTTATTTATTTGAGAGGCAAAGTTTTAGGCAGAGAGAGAGGTCTTCTGTCTGCTTCATTCCACAAATGGCTGCAACAGCCAGATGTGCCTGTCTGAAGCCAGGAGCTAGGAGCTTCTTCCAGGTCTCCCACGTGGGTGCCATCTTACACTGCTTTCCCAAGCCATTAGTAGGGAGCTGGATCAGAAGTGGAGCGGCCAGGACTCAAACTGGCATCCCTACAGGATGCTGGCACTGCAGGCAGAGGCTTAACCTATTATACCACAGTGCCAGCCCCAACATGATTTCTTTCATCTTTTCTTTTCTTTTCTCTTTCTCCTCCCTCCCTCCCTCCCTTGCTTCCTTGCTTCCTTGCTTCCTGGCAGAGTTAGAGAGAAAGGTCTTCCTTTTCCATTGGTTCAACCCCCCAAGTGGCCGCTAAGGCCGGCATATTGTGGCCCGACATGATTTCTTAATGTGTAGTTTTTTCAGCTTATGTTTTGCTTACCTGTATGGCATGTAACTGGATTAATAAGGTGATAATAAAAGGAGGGTTTTTTACAATTGAGAAAAGCAGACAGGAGCCCCGAAATACCCATAATGGTGGAGGCCAGATGCGAGGGTCACATTCCAGGGGTCTCCTATGGATGGCACCAACCTAGCTTCTCTAGCCATTACCACTGCTCTTGGGGTTTGCATAGGCAAGAAGCTGGAGTCTGTGACGAGAGGCTCTCCAGTATGTATTACAATGCCCAGCATAATAAGTAGGTTTATTTATTTTCAAAATCCTATTTTATTTGAAAGGCAGAGTTACAGAGAGAGAGCTTCCATCTACTGGTTCACTACCAGATGGCTGCCAAGGCCAGAGCTGGACTAGACAGAAACCAGGAACTTAAGTGATCTTGCACTGCTTTCCCAGGTGCATTAACAGAGAGTTGGATCAAAAATGGAGCTGCCTGGGCTTGAACTGGCACTTATACAGGATGCTGCCAGCACAACCAAAAGCTTAAACCGCTATGCTATAATGGTGGCCCAGTAAATATGTTTAGATGGAACATAGTACAGGTTTTAAGTTGTGCTTTGCTAAGAAGTAAGGTAGCTGAAGTTTTCATATGTATGTAACTTGCTAAATATGCTTTGATGGACCGCTTTGTAAATTTGGTTGTTAAGAATCAATACCACCAGGCCGGCATTTCGGCATAGTAGGTAAAGCCATTGGCTGCTCCACTTCGGATCCAGCTCCCTGCTAGTGGCCTGGGAAAGCAGAAGCAGAAGGCCCAAGTGCTTGAGCCCCTGCCACCACATGGGAAACCTAGAAGAAGCTCCTGGCTTCCGACCTGCCCAGCTCTACCTGTTGCTGCCATCTGGGGAGTGAACCAGTAGATGGAAGATCTCTGTCTCTCCCTCTGTAACTCTGCCTTTCACATAAATAAATCTTTTTAAAAAAATTAATATCAATTCCAGGAGATAATAAGGTGCACCTGGAGGTAATGATTTTTTTTTTTTTTTTTTTTGACAGGCAGAGTTAGAGAAAGGTCTGTCTTTTTCTGTTGGTTCACCGCCCAAATGGCTGCCATGGCTTGCGAGCTGCGCCGATCCGAAGCCAGGATCCAGGTGCTTCTCCTGGTCTCCCATTCGGGTGCAGGGCCCAAGCACTTGGGCCATCCTCCACTGCACTCCTGGGCCACAGCAGAGAGCTGGCCTGGAAGAGGAGCAACCGGGACAGAATCCGGCGCCCCAACCGGGACTAGAACCCGGGGTGCTGGCGCCACAGGTGGAGGATTAGCCTAGTGAGCCGCGGCGCCAGCAGTGATTTCTTTTTTTTTTTTTTTTTTGACAGGCAGAGTGGACAGTGAGAGAGAGAGAGACAGAGAGAAAGGTCTTCCTTTGCCGTTGGTTCACCCTCCAATGGCCGCCGCGGCCGGCGCGCTGCGGCCGGCGCACCGCGCTGATCCGATGGCAGGAGCCAGGAGCCAGGTGCTTTTCCTGGTCTCCCATGGGGTGCAGGGCCCAAGCACCTGGGCCATCCTCCACTGCACTCCCGGGCCACAGCAGAGAGCTGGCCTGGAAGAGGGGCAACCGGGACAGAATCCGGCGCCCCGACCGGGACTAGAACCCGGTGTGCCGGCGCCGCAAGGCGGAGGATTAGCCTAGTGAGCCGCGGCGCCGGCGCCAGCAGTGATTTCTAATATAGTTCTGGGTAAGCATAACTGATTTACTAAAGAAAAGAATTATCTGAGGCTCCCCTCAGGAAAATATTGAATGGGTGAGGATGGTTATTTTCTACTTCATAACTACTATTTTTTTATTTGAAATGATTATTGAGACAAGTAAAACCGGTTTTTAAGAACTCAAGATATATCTGGAATTTGTCAGTGAATATCTGCCTTTAGAATTTATTCTTTAAAGTACCCTATACTTGATCATTTTTCAGCATTTGGTTTGACTTTATGCCTTAAGAA